CCTCGGCACAGCACATCAAGATCGATACATTCAGCATTGCATTTGCCCGTCGCCCAAATCAGGTGTCTTTGAAACGTTGCCACGCCTGACATTTCTATATTCCTTTCCGGGCTCGTGGGTCGATCATGGTTTCGACTGTTCCTGCACCTGCTTCCCGTGTCGGGTGGCTTTTCACGGAAGCTCCCAGTAATCATGTTGCTCTCGGTGAAATCCAAATAAAGCCAAATAAGGCGCGCTGCGGCGCCTCAGTTTGCCTTAAAATTGGCTTCACGTAATTGGTTTTTAATAAATAACCTTAGATAGCAGCGGCATGTGGTTCCTAATGTGCCTCAAATGACCTTCAAAATCACATGGAATGGTTCGTCGCGCGTTGATTCTGAGCTCCCATGGAAGGCCGCCCGCTTCCCGTGGGAGGGCCCACGCCCGACTCCCACGGCCAGCCAGAGAGGGCGCGCCCCCTCCTCGGGCAGCGTGCCCCCGCGGGGAGGCCGCCGCCGCAGGGGACGCGCACGGGCCCGTGCCAGCGCTCGCTCGGGGCGGCGGCTCGGAGGCCCGTCGTGGCGGAACCCTCCCAGAAAAATCGTGGGGGGTAGGGGTCGGGTTCGCATGTGGCCCCCTATACGAGACCTATGTTGGCTCACAGCAGCAATTCGGCCCCCCTCCGCCCCCTCCTCGGGCAGCGTGCCCCCGCGGGGAGGCCGCCGCCGCAGGGGGCGCGCGCAAGGGGCCCGTGCCGGCGCTCGGGGCGGGGCGGCGGGCTCGGAGGCCCGCCCCCCGCGCGACCCCCGCGGGCGCGCACGGGGCGGGCTCCGCCCTTGGGCGGTCGAGGGCCAACGCTTCTATCGGCTACACGTAAGAGTGACCTCTGGGTTCGAAATGGCAAGATGGTAGTCTTGCAAAAACCATCCTGAAATCATTGACTTTGCTTGCTGCGGCCCTTCTGGCACTGGCAGCAGCCAACTCTCCCCTTGAAAACACCCCGCCCCAATTCCCTCCTGGACAACCCTCGCCGCCAGGCCCTGAAGCAGATCTGGCCCCCGCGAGTCGGCTACACGTAAGAGTGACCCTGGGTAAGAGTGACCTCTGGTGCGCGGCTTTGGGGGGGCCGCGGGGAGGCCAAATCCAGGCGCGCCAGCCGCTGCTGCCGCTTCGCGTTTGGCCATCTGGGGGCCAATCCGTGCCCGCACCAAAGGTCACTCCGGCGAAAGGTCACTCTTACGTCTGGTCGATTATAGGTCGGGCGTGTCCCCCTACGGGCGGATTCTGGACGAAAAATCATACAACGTAGGCAGAAGAGGATCCAGAGCTCGGAAGCCCGTCCCCCGTGCCCCGCGGTCGCATCTGGCAAACTCTGTTCTGGGCGGTCGAGGGCTAACGCTTCTAGGTCGGGCGTGTCCCCCTACGGGCGGATTCGGGACGAAAAAGTCATAGAAAGTAGGCAGAAGAGGATCCAGAGCTCGGAAGCCCGTCCCCCGCGCCCCGCGGTCGCATGTGGCAGGCTCTGCTCTGGGCGGTCGAGGGCTACACTTACGGCCGCGCATGTCCCCCCACGGGCGGATGTGGGACGAAAAAATCATAGAAAGTAGGCAGAAGAGGATCCAAGGCTCGGAAGCCCGTCCCCCGCGCCCCGCGGTCGCATCTGGCAAACTCTGTTCTGGGCGGTCGAGGGCTACACTTAACGGCCGCGCATGTCCCCCTACGGGGGATGTGGGACGAAAAAGTCATAGAAAGTAGGCAGAAGAGGATCCAGAGCTCGGAAGCCCGTCCCCCGCCCCTCCCGGTCGCATGTGGCAGGCTCTGCTCTGGGCGGCTGAAGGCTACACTGAACGGCCAGGCATGTCCCCCTACAGGCGGATTCTGGACGAAGAATCATATAGAGCAGACAGAACATGGCTCAAGCATCCTGTGAAAAGAGAAAAAACCGTCCCCAGACAATGCTTTTGTCACACCATGGTCGAAGATTATGAGAGAGAGAGAAGAAAAAGGGAGTGCAGCAAACAATGTTCCTCGTTAATGTGTCGTTTTGTTATTCGTCTTGCTCTCCCTGATTTCCTGCACCTCCCTGCCAAAACGAAAAACAAAGCACAGCCGATGTCCAGCAAAACAGCGCTTAGGTCCAGCCCTGGGCCAAATCCACCCACAAACCCGTCCTGGAGTGCGCCCCGACCAAGACTTTCCAAGGATATCCAGCCGTGACCACGAAGAACGCTCCAGGAGGCTCCCGAAGACCACCAACGTTCATAAGCATCGAACCTCGACATTCGATCCTCCTCCTCCTCCTCCAAAAAAACATGATCGACCCACGAACCCGGAAAGGAATATAGAAATTTAAAGCATGGCGGCGTTTCAAAGACATCTGATTGCAGAACTGAGTGTATCGATCTTGATGTACCGTGCCGAGGGCTGTGCTGTGCGCCATGCCGCGATTGTGCTCTATAGCGTTGTGGATCGAGTCCTCCCTGACATCCGAGTCCTGACCGAACTGATCTGGATCTTAAGCTCGAGCTGCCTCAGCACATAGTAGCTGCCCCAGAACTAATCGACAGAGGGGACATGCCAGGAGGACGCGCCGCGTAACGTCCCAAGGGATGCGCAAGGCGACGTGCCAGGGGACGTCCCATGGGCACGCACCGCGGGACGTGCCAAAGGGGCGCGCTACGGAACGTGCCACTGGACGTGCCACGGGACGTGCCAGGGGACGCGCCGCGCGACGTGCCAGGGGGACTCGCCACGGGACGCGCCACGGAACGTGCCAAGGAACGTGCCAAATTGCAATGCTGGACGTATCGATCTTGATGTACCGTGCCCAGGGCTGTGCTCTGCTGGGCCGTGCTGAATTGCGATGTGCCATGCCGCGATTGTGCTCTATAGCATTGTGGATCGAGTCGTCTTTTGCATCCGAGTCCTGACCGAACTGATCTGGATCTTAAGCTCGAGCTGCCTCAGCACATAGTAGCTACCCCAGAACTAATTGACAGGGGGGATATGCTAGGAGCACGCGCCGCGGAATGTCCCAAAGAACGCGCCAGGCGACGTGCCAAGGGACGTGCCATGGGGACGCACCGCGGGACGTGCCAAAGGGACGCGCTACGGAACGTGCCAATGGACGTGCCACGGGACGTGCCAAGGGACGCGCCGCGCGACGTGCCAGGGGGACTCGCCACGGGACGCGCCACGGAACGTGCCAAATTGCAATGTTGATTGCATCGATCTTGCTGTACCGTGCCGCGGGCTGTGCTGTGCTGCGCCGTGCTGAACTGCGATGTGCCATGCCGCGAGTGTGTTCTATAGCGTTGTGGATCGAGTCCCTGGCATCCGAATCCTGACCGAACTGATCTGGATCTTAAGCTCGAGATGCCTGAGCAGATGGTAGCTGCCCCAGAACTAATCGACAGAGGGGACATGCCAGGAGGACGCGCCGCGGAACGTCCCAAGGGACGCACCAGGCGACGTGCCAGGGGACGTGCCATGGGCACGCACCGCGGGACGTGCCCAAAAGACGCGCTACGGAACGTGCCACGGGACGTGCCGCGGGACGTGCCAGGGGACGCGCCGCGCGACGTGCCAGGGGGACTCGCCACGGAACGCGCCGAGAAACGTCTAAGGTGCAATGTTGAGTGTATCGATCTTGGTGTACCGTGCCGACGGCTGTGCTGTGCTGGGCCGTGCTGAAATGCGATGTGCCATGCCACGATTGTGCTCGATTTAACGTTGTAGATCGAGTCCTCTTTGCATCCGAATCCTGACCGAACCGCTCTGGATCTTAAGCTCGAGCTGCCTGAGCAGATGGTAGCTGCCCCAGAACTAATCGACAGAGGGGACATGCCAGGAGGACGCGCCGCGGAACGTCCCCAGGGACGCGCCAGGCGACGTGCCAAGGGACGTGCCATGGGGACGCACCGCGGGACGTGCCAAGGGGACGCGCTACGGAACGTGCCAATGGACGTGCAGCGCGCGACGTGCCAGGGGAACTCGCCACGGGAAGCTCCGCGGAACGTGCCAGGCAACATGCCAGGCTGCAATGCTAAGGGTATCGATATTGATGTACCGTGCCGAGGGCTGTGCTGTGCCTGGGCGACCTGGACACGTGGAAACACACGTTCCGCTCAAGACGTTCCCAGCACATCCTCATGCTAGACATCCGCCTGGGCAACCTGGACACGTGCAAACAAGCGCCTCGATCGAGACTTCCTCGGCACATCCTCATGCTAGACATCCGCCTGGGCGACGAGGACGCGTGAAACCAAGCGTCTCGCTCGAGACATCCTCAACAAATCCTGGCGCTAGACCTCTGCCTGGGCGACCTGGAGGCGTGGAACCAAGCGTCTCGCTCGAGACGTCCTCAAGACCTGGGCACGTGAAAACAAGCATGTCACTTGAGAGATCCTCTGAATTCAGGTCCCCAGGAGAGGACACTCTATAACACAAAACAAGCGTTTCGCTCGAGACATCCTCAACAAATTCGGAAAACTAAGCGTTTTGCTCGAGACATCCTCAACTGTTTAATTCGCCGGTCCTAGGCGACCTCGTTATAGATCGCAAAAGAAATTCGCCGGCCCTACAGCCGTCAGATCCGGGGGCAAATCCCTAGTAAAAGAGAACCCTGGGCCTGTGCCCTTTCCGGGAACAATATCGTCACCCTCCTCTTCCACCCGTCCTCCTCATCCCCATCCTCGTTACCCTACTCATCAACGTGCTATAGAGGAGAAGGGGGATGAGGGGCGGAGGACGGAGGCGGACGGAGGAGAGAGGAGGAGGAGCAGGGAGGGGGGACGGAGGAGGGAGAACAGGGGAGAAGAGGGGCGGGAGGAGGAGGAGGAGGGGGGGGACGAGGGAGGAGGGGAGGAGGGAGAACAAGGGAGACGAGGGGCGGGAGGCGGAGGAGGAGGGGGACGAGGGAGGAGGGGGACCACGCCATCCCCCCCGTGCTGCTGCCCCCTTCCTCCGCGGAGCCCTCGGCCCCTCGTCCTGCCCCCCCCCCCCTTCCCCAACCGCCCGTCCTCGGCGCTCCGCTGCCCGCCCGGGCGGGCGGCGACCTGGCCGGGTCGCGCAGCCGCCGCCGCGAGGAGAGGCGGGGCGACACGGCGAGGAGGGGGATCGGGGGGATAGCGGGGGGGGGGGGAGCGGGGAGGGAGGGGGGGGGAGTGGGGAGGAGGGGGGGGGGAGGAGGGGATAAGGGGGGGGGGAGAAGGGGGAGGGGGAGGGGGGCTAGGAGGCAACTGCTGGGAGGTGTTCGTCGTGGAGAGATGAGGGAGGATCAAGCCCCATTTGGGAGCTGTTACGCTTGAGTGGGCCTCGGACCAAGCAGGATTAAGCCAGATTCAGCGGGATTAACCGCGATTACACCAGATTAAGCGGGATTAAGCTGGATTAGGCCGGGTTTCGGACCAGGGCGAAAACAGAATTTGACCTCCCTGGAGTTGCATCCGAATTGGGGGGGGGGCGGACGGGGAAGAGGAAGCAGCAAGCACAGCACTCAAGGTCCGACCAGCGCGCTGGAACGGGAGGGGGAGGAAGGGAAGGAGGCGGGGGAGGAGGGAGAGGGGACGAATGAGGGGATCAGGGGAGAGGGGGCATGAGGAGAAAGAGAGAGAGGACGCGGGGGGGGAGGGAGGGTGATGGGGGGGAGGAAGAGAGACGGGGGGGGAGAATGAGGGAGGAGGGGGGGAGGGGGGGACAATGAGGAGGAGAGAAGGGGGGACAGGGGTAGAAGGACCAGGGGGGATGAGCAAGGGAGAAGGAAGACGGGAAGGAGGAGGAGAAAGCAACCGACGAGGGAAAGACAAAGGGGAAGGAGGTGGGGTGGGAATGGACACAGGAGGAGGAGGAGGAGGAGAAGGATGAGGAGGAGGCGGAGGAGAGAGAGGAGGAGGGCGATGAGAAGGAGGAGTGAACCTGGGAGGAAGAAAAGGATGGGGCTGACGAGGAAGGGGAGAGGGGAACAGGGCCAAGAGGCGGTAGATGATGGGGAGCAAGGAGAACTCGGAGCGGCCAAAGGAGGGAGGCAGAGGAGCGAGGGACCTCCTCTCGTGTCATCCTCCTCCTCCTCCTCCTCCTCCTCCTCCTCCTCCTCCTCCTCCTCCTCCTAGGAGGAGGGGGAGAGGAAGAGGAGGAGAGGGGAAGGACGAGGAAAGAGCGAGACGGAGGGAAGAGAAGGGGGAAGCCAGAGGGAGCGAGGCGGAAGCAGGAAGGAAGCGACGAAGCGCACCCCCATCCATCCTCGTCCAGGGAAGTCCCCCGTGTCGCACCGACGTACACCCTGCGAAATGCTTAAGAAAACATGGGTTAAGAAATTCATAGTCCCAGAATTTGATTGCAAACCCAAACTTTCTATTCAAATTTTAGGCTGTACATTGAAACAGTAAGAATAAGCGAGACTCTGGCCGAAACCTTACGTTTTCTTAAGCATCGCCTAGGGTGTATGCAGTGTTCACTGGCGGAGAATGGGCCCGCAACAGCATGTGGGGCTCCCAAGTACCGCAGCCACAGTCGTCGCAAACTCTTGCCATCGATCCAAGGATGGAGCGCAGGGTGATTCCAACATGAGGCACTCGGCGCAGCGCCGCGCACATTCATCTGGAAAGGTGGCAGCAGGCAAAAGGATGGAGCACAAGAAATGTTCACAGTGTGCATCGCGCCTCAGCGCCGAACCGAATCGTCGCAGAAGGCTGCAGCAGCTTCAAGGATGGAGCGGTTGTCGGTTTGAACAGATGGCGGTCGCCGTAGCGTTCATTCGCTCAAAGGTTGCAAGAGCTCCAAGAATGCAGGTCGGTTCCTGCTCAAACATATGTTCTTGTCTAGGCGCCGCGCACACGCATCTTGAGGCTTGCAACAGCTTCAAGCATGGATCACAAAGGGCTGTTCACGAACTGACTCTCGCCCTTGCGCGGGACACGATGGTCTTCAAACTCTGCAATAGTCCCAGGGGTGGAGGGAGGGATGGATGGATGGATGGATGGGGATGGATCTCGCCCTAGCGCCGCGCACGATCGTGCTGACATGTTACAATCGTGTGGCTCCGTTTCGAAATGGTGCTCTCACCTCAGCGCTGCGCACACCCGCTTCAACACCTTGCAGCATGAACTGTAAGCTGGCACGGGTCGTTTTTCCAAAATTTGGCTCTCGCATAAGCGCCGCGCACATCGGCTCCCTCTTCTCAGCATTGTAGAATGAAGGATGACTGGTATTGTTCAAAATTGGGTGCTCGTGCGAGACTTCGTCCATCGAGTGAAAACATGATGGACCCACGAACCCGGAAAGGGATAAAGACATGTGCAGCATGGTCACGTTTTCACGATACCCAACTGGGCGACATCTCACGAAACATCCCACGAGACACCCCGCGAAACATCCCACGAGACACCTCACGAAACATTCCACGAGACACCTCACGAAACATTCCACGAGACACCCCGTGAAACATTCCACGAGACACCCCACGAACAGGCAACCACTCAACCAGACACGCCACGAAACATTCCACGGGGGTGCGACTGGGTGTGGTCGTGCTGGGGTGTGGTCGTGCTGGGGTGTGGTCGTGCTGGGGAGTGGTCGTGCTGGGGTGTGGTCGTGCTGGGGGGTGGTCGTGCTGGGGCGTGGTCGTGCTGGGGGGGTGGTCGTGCTGGGTGCTGGGGCGTGGTCGTGCTGGGGCGTGGTCGTGCTGGGGCGTGGTCGTGCTGGGGTGTGGTCGTGCTGTGGTGAGGTCGTGCTGGGGTGTGGTCGTGCTGGGGTGTGGTCTTGCTGGGGTAGGGTCGTGCTGGGGTCGGGTCGTGCTGGGGTGTGGTCGTGCTGGGGTATGGTCGTGCTGGGGTGGGGTCGTGCTGGGGTGGGGTCGTGCTGGGGTCTGGTCGTGCTGGGGTGTGGTCGTGCTGGGGTATGGTCGTGCTAGGGTGGGGTCGTGCATTTCGCTCGAGACATCCTGCCAAAATTCCAGGAAATCGTACAAAAACAAACGAATTAGTCGAGACATCATCGAAATTCCTTCGCGCGGGGCGCTTTTCCGCGTCGCGGTCGGCTCTGCAAAACAAGCGTTTCGCTCGAGACATCCTCGGCAAACTCTGCGGAGCAAGCGTTTCGCTCGAGACATCCTCAACACACGAAAAAGTGGCCCGCACCCAGTGATTTATCGATCGGGATTTCAAAAACAAGCGTTTCGCTCGAGACATCCTCACAAATAATTTCGCCGGCCTCCTTCGACCTCGATATTTATCAGGGAAACATTTCGCCGGCCTCCTTCAAGTTGGGCACCGGGGACATGTTTACATACTAAAAGAGAACCCTGGGCCTTTGCCCTTTCCGGGAAAAAAGCTCCAACACATGTAGCAATGCCTAGATTCGGGATGGTTATTTTCCGAAATCGACCTCTCGCTTGACACTCCCTGAAGAGGCCTCTGCTTCACCATCCAGGCTCGGTGATGGGATACGCCGAAAGCCAGCAGATATCGCTGGACACCTCGTGAAACTTTATGATCACTATTGTTCGCGCTCCTGGCTACGCGGCCGAGCTGTGCAAGGCAAGTCCTGTTGAAAGCGAAGCCCTCGCCAAAACGGCAGGCCCAACTGCACTGCCTCTTGTAGCTAGATGGAAAGCTTGTGAGGACGTATGGGCAGGCGACACGGGACGGGAGGGCTTGCTGTAGCATCGTTGACACCTCTTGGGCTCACTCTGATTAGATATAGAGGACCCCCACCCCTTTGGTGGGGCACCTAAGTGAGGAGGGCCAGAAACATCAGGGATAGGGGGTCATTGCTGCACATATCGATTATCCCTGATGCAA